TCCCCCCCCCCCCCCCCCAAAAAAAACCGCTCCGGGCCAGGCTGGAACGGATTTTACTGCAAAACCTCAGAATGTCCAAAATCGCCCCCCTCGGGGGTCTCCGCGCCCCCCGCCCCCCACCCCAGGCGCCGCCGCACCATTTCCGGCAGAAAACTCCGCAAGAAGTGGAAAAACTCCTGGAAAAGCTGCGAGGGGGGGTCGGGCTGGAGGCGCAGCAGAATTTGGGGGTCCCGGCGCGACCCCCCCGGGCGGGCGCTGAGCTGGAACCGGAGCAGCGGCTCGGGGGGGGGGCCGGGGGGGGGCCCGGGGGGGGTCCCGGTGTCACCTCGGACGATGGCCTCGGTCACCGCCCGCTCCAGCGCCAGGGGCGACCCCCCGGGACCCCCAACACCCCCGGGACCCCCAACACCCCCGGGACCCCCAACACCCCCGGGAGCCTCAAAATCCCCGGGATCCCGAAACCCCCCGGGGCCCGGAGCCCCCCCGGAACCCCGAAACTCCCCGGGATTCTGAGCCCCCCCAGGAGCCGGAGCTCCCCCGGGATCCGGAACCCCTCCGGGACCCCGAAACCCCCCAGGAGCCTCAAAATCCCCGGGATCCTGAACCCCCCCGGGATCCTGAACCCCCCCGGGATCCCCAACACCCCCGGGATCCCCAACCCCCCCGGGGCCCGGAGCTCCCCCAGGATCCGGAGCCCCCCCGGGACCCCCGAGCCCTCGAGCGCCCCCGGGACCCCCAAGCCGGAGGCGGCGGCGGAGGCGGCGGCGGCCCCGCCACACCCGGTACCAGACACAGCAGCTCCACCGGGCCGGCACCGCGGGGCCCCGGGGGCGCTTTGCGGGCGGGACCCCCGCCCCATCCGCGACCCCCTCGGGGAGGCGGCGCTTCCAGCCCGGCCCCGGTGCTCCCGGGACCCCCAAATCCCCCCGGGAATCGCCCGTCACCCCCTCCAGGTGACTCGCGGCTCCCGGTTCTGGCTCTCCCGGATCCGGGAGCAGCTCCTCCTCAGTCCCCGGTGCTCCCGGGACCCCCAAATCCCCCCGGGAATCGCCCGTCACCCCCTCCAGGTGACTCGCGGCTCCCGGTTCTGGCTCTCCCGGATCCGGGAGCAGCTCCTCCTCAGTCCCCGGTGCTCCCGGGACCCCCAAATCCCCCCGGGAATCGCCCGTCACCCCCTCCAGGTGACTCGCGGCTCCCGGTTCTGGCTCTCCCGGATCCGGGAGCAGCTCCTCCTCAGTCCCCGGTGCTCCCGGGACCCCCAAATCCCCCTCCAGGTGACTCGCGGCCCCCGGTTCTGGCTCCCCCGGCTCCCCCTCGGGCTCGCAGCCGCAGCCCAGCACCTCCCTGAGCACGAAGCCCACGGCCGCGCACACCTCGCCCTGCGGGACCCCCGGAGCCCGCAGCGGCACCGGGATGAGGAATTTCCCCTGGGAATTGCCGGGATTCCCGGGCTGGAGCAGCCGCATCACGCCCCAAGGGCGGCCCCTCCGCGACTTCTGCAGGAACTCGGGGCCGCGACAGAGGCGGGCGGCGTCGCGACAGCAGCGCACGAATCGCGACACCGTGCGCGGGGTGACATTGGCGGCCACGTTGTGGCTGAGCTCGAAGGGGTCCTGCAGGGTCAGGGGGCCCGGGCGGAGCCCCCCGGGGGTCCCGGGCGGGGGTCGCGGCAGAGCTCGGCCCTCCAGGGGGGACAGGAGGAGCCCCCCCAGATCCAGGCTCCCGAAATAGGAGAAGAATTCGGCCAGGAGGGAGGCTGGGGTGGGGGGGAAGGGGGCGGTCAGAGAGCTGAGACCCCCAAAATCACCCAGAAATACACTCAAAACCAGCCAGAAACAACCCCAGAAACCATCCCCAAAACCAGCCAGAAACAACCCCAAAAATACCCCCCAAAAACACCCCAAATCCCACCCCCGAATCATCCAAACACCCCCCGAAATTACCCAAAAACCTCCAAAACCACCCCAAAAACAGCCAGAAACAACCCCAGAAACTCCTCAAAACGCCCCAAAACCCACCCCAAAAACATCCAGAAACCCCAGAAACTCCTCAAAACGCCCCAAATCCCACCCCAAAAACAGCCAGAAACCCCAGAAACCCCTCAAAACGCCCCAAAACCACCCCAAAAACATCCAGAAACCCCAGAAACCCCTCAAAACGCCCCAAAACCACCCCAAAAACATCCAGAAACCCCAGAAACTCCTCAAAACGCCCCAAAACCACCCCAAAACAGCCAAAAACTCCTCAAAAATACCCCCAAACTCAACCAGAACCCCCCAAAAACGTTCCCAAAACCCTCAAAACGCCCCAAAACCCAGCGAGATTTAAGGACGCCCCCAGTGGGGTTTGAGCCCCTCCCCGATTTGAGGCCCCCTCCCCAATTTGGGGACCCCTCCCCGATTTGAGCCCCCTCCCTGATTTGGGGACTGCTCCCCGATTTCAGGACCCCTCCCCGATTTCAGGACCCCTCCCCAATTTGGGGACCCCTCCCCG